GGGAAGCCTCAAGCACCAGGAGAAACCACCCGTGGCTTCCTTACACAGCCAGCCCTCCCCTCCCAGCCAGTCCCTCCAGCTCCCTGTGCCAGTAAGTGGCTTGTGGTCCACCCCAGACGTGTCCTCAGCTCTGCTTTACTGGATGCAACGCTCCTTCCAAGAGGTTCTGCCTGGTAAAAGTGCCAGAAGTTTCTGTTTCTGTTCTGTTTCTTACCAGCCATGATTTACTTACTGTAACTGGCTATTCATTATGTCCTGCACTGCATTATTAACTTGGTGATCGTACATTTAGCAGAGAATTTATGAGAAATGAGCAGACATTCATTATCAGCAGCACCACAGGCTTTACTCTTATATGGTGTCCCTGCAGAGAGCGATGCTCGGCTCACCCAGCTCTGGCCATTCCTTGGCCAGTGCAGGGGCTGCTCTGCCCAGCTCCAGGGCTGCATTCCCCTCACTCAGGCCAGCCCTGAGTTTTTTCCCTATTAAAAACTTTTCTGTTGGCATTTAGCTGGCTTGATTGTGCAGCCATGCCTCCTGTTGTCTGAAAACCCATCGGTTTTCCCTGTTTTGTGGCAGGGAGCTGCGTGAGGATTGTCTGAGTCATGTCTGTGCTTTCCAGCAGCTGAACTGCAGCAGAAATGCCCTTAAAATACCTGCCCTGTCCTGCAGCTCTGAACTGGGGACAAATGCATCCCCTGCACACCTGACTTGGGGACCACGAGAGGAGTCATAGGGGACACAGAAGGCCAAGTTCAGCTCTTGGGTTTTGTGAGCAAAGGGCACAGTGTCCTGCCGTGAGACTTGGAGAAGTGTTCCCAGATGCTCTGCTAAAGAAACAACAACCACAGAAAAACCCAAGCAACAGCCAAACAAACAGAAATCCCAGGTGGAGTCCCAGAGGCACACGAGTTCCCGCTGGAAGACACTGTAGGCAGGTTGGAGCCAGGGCAGGCACGACCTGGATGTCTGACAACCTCCCAGGAATTTGGATTCCAAGAGGAACACAATGAACTGGTTCCTCTTTGACCTTAAAGCCATGCTCCAGCTGTCTCTGCAGAGCATTCCATCTCCGAAACCTTTCCATCTCAGAAACCTTTCCCAGCAGAGAGCACACATCAGGAGCAGGATTCCTGGCTCCAGGGGAGGGCTGGGATTCCCCAGCTGCAGGCTTGAAGGCTGTGAGGAGCCAGGGTTCCAGACCAAGGAAAGAATGGGAAGAGCAGAGCTGGCTGGAGGCTCCTGGGCATTTCCCATTCTTAGATTTTCACTGAAAAACACACACACACATACATATAGGTATATTTGAAGGCAATAATTTAACTTTCCTGGCTGGTTCCAGAGCCTCCCACATGCCCTTCCAAAGCCCCAGTTTCTGAATATCCTGTGTGTGGCTGGGAAGGTCCGGGCAGCACTGATGCTCCACGGGGGGTTCTGCATCCTCTGATCCCAACGGGGTGTCACAGGCCGTGCAGGCTTCAGCAGAGCCTAGGGAAGGGAAAGCTATGCAAAACATGCCCCAAGGAACTGCACAGCCATCCCAGATTACCTTCTTTGGAGTGGTTTTGGAAGTTACATAAAGGCAGAGAGAGTTCTCTGCGAGAGTCTGTGGGACAGGCACTGGCTGCCCCAGCTACCTCTGTGATCAGAGCAGCCCCCACTCCCTCCCACCTCCTGCCCCCGGGCTGCTGGCTCCCTGCAGGGGCTGGGGGCTCTGCAGAAGCCCCTGCTGTGGTGTTTGGCCTGGTGAGTGCCCTGCTTTGCCCTCCCCTCTCCCCCACGTGGGCGCAGTTGGGGCGGGCGAGATCCTCGCGTAATTTGCAGCTTGGAGTGGGAGAAGCCTCTGGGTCCATCTAATCAGTCTTTGCATCACCTGAGAGCACCAACCCTGCTGCAGAGTCCCCATCCCTCCCAAACCCTTCCCTCCAGCACTGCCTGGCTTTGACTGGGAGCGCCGGGGGTTTGCTTCAGTAAACCAAAAATCATAAGTGCTTCAGGGTCAAAACTTTTGTGGCCACCATCCAGGACAGGAGCCCGTGGGGTGCTGTGCCAGTGGCCCTGCAGCTGTCCTGGAAGGGACCCTGTGCCCCAGAGCTCAGCACAGTCCTGCCCAGCTCCCAGAGTGCCCCCAGCTCACCCCCCAGCTCACCACGCAGGGAGAGGCAGAGCACGGGGAGGGACGTGGCTGCACCGCTCTGCAGGCGCTGGGGTTGGGAATTAATCCTCCCATTAACGGGGGAAATGGAGCGTTTGCGTCTCACAAAGCAATTACACGGCAAGAGCAGCAGAACCATGATAGAGATCGCATCTCTGAAGTTTTGCTCCAATCCAACACATGAATAATTCCTCCTAAGCACTACGGGGAAAGAGTATTAAAAGACTGATATAAACAAAAATTACTGGGGAAAAAACAGCCGAGGCATGCTTCATCACCCCATCAGAGCCAGGCACAGCTAAATTTATACAAAGTGGGCAGAGAAGCATGAAGGGGCAAAAACATTTGTTACCGCTCCGTGTGAGATGAGCTCACAAGGAAATGCATGCTTGATCTTGGCAGTTTTCTGATGTCTTACTCCTAAAGTATCAGCTTTAGTCCTGGTTTCCATGGCAGATACTTTTCTGAGCTTGTATCTTCCACAGATATTGCTAATTTATGCTCTCAGCCACGTCTCTGCAAATACCTGCAGAGCGATTCCATGTGCAGTGGGAGTGGTGACAACCAGGCCCACGTGAACATGCCTCAGCTCTTGTTTTCAACCAGGGGACACAAAAGGGCTTGTTTTCCAGAGCCAAAAGATCTTGGCTGATCTCCTGGCGCTGTTTTTTTGCCCTAAGAACCCTGACACTGTGTTATCTGTCCAGTGAAGCAAAGTACCTTCAGCATATCAGCCAGGTCCGTGGTGCAGGCAGGTTTCACCCTCCCAGAGCCCTCTGGGCAGCTCTGAGCAGGCAGGGACAGGCAATGCACGTGGCCCTGCTCCCTCCTGCTCCCCCCTCCCATCTCACATTAACAGAGTCTGTAAACCATGAAGGTCTTCCCCAGCCACATCAAAAACATCTTATTTTCAGGGTGGATTTACCAGCCCTGCAAACACTGAGCAAACAGGTGCCCAGGTGTAATTCTCACCAATTCAGCAAGACCACAGCAAGGTGAGAGGCTGCACGTCTGGCTGGCGGAAGGAGAATCCCAGGGGTTCACAAAGCTGTTGTTTATCCACTGGAGCGTGGAACAGCCTGCACGTACAAAAGGAATTGGGGCAGACTCATAAAAAGTAACTCACACAATGACAGGACCAGCGGGAAGCACTGGCACGTGCAGAGGGAGCTCGTGCTGGAGCAACAGCACCGACCAAAGTCCTGGCAGTGGTGGGGAAGCCCACGTTCTGGGGGGATGGGGTGGGTGCAGGGCACAGGGCTGGGCCTGGGCGTGCCCAGCACCAACGGATGAGTCCCAAGTCCCAGGTAGGAAAGCGGTGAGACACCGAGATGAGCCATTCCCTCCCCAGAGGATAAAAGCCTGGCAAACCCTGGCCAGCTGCATGTGGACCTGGATGGAACTGTGGTTGCTGGTCATTCTGGGGCCCAAGCAGCCACCTGCCCCACTCTGCAGGTCACCTGGTGAGCAGCAGCTCACAGGTAATGCCCTTCTCTGCTCTCAGCCAGCACAAACACCTGTACATGGGCTTCAGGTGCTCTTACCTCCCCCCTGGCTTCTGCTGGCCATGGGAGAGGGGCTTTGCTGGGGCTCAGACATGTCCCCTCCCTCTGCCCGAGGCAACAGAAGTTTTAAAGGCAGTGTGGAACGAAAAGCATCTGGGTGATGTTCCTTTGGATCTGCTCTTCGCTGTGGCCAGAGGTCACCTCCTCAGCTCTCCGGTAAATAAGGGAAACCCCTGGTTCAAGTGGGATGGGGACAGAGGCTGTTCCGGGAGTCCTTCAGCGAGGGTGAGTAACAGGGTCAGCAACAACAGTAAACAAGCTGCTAACTTTCCAAACACAACCTCTGCAGCATCCGGCCGCTCTAAAACATTAACCAAAATACACTTATCTCTGGCTCCCGGCCTCAAGTGACTTCTGAACCCGCAGTTATTCTGGGATGGATTCGGCTGTGCTCGGTAACACCAGCTGTCTGAGCCCAGCAGGAGCTCCAGTGGCCAGAGCCAGCCCCTTGCAGGCAGCCATGCCCTGTCCCAGTGTATCCTGAGTGGGAAGAGACCCATGAAATCCAACTCCCTGCTCCTCACAGGGCCGCCAAAAACTAACCTAATATGACTAAGAGTGAGTCCTCCCAGCCCAAGGGCTTGGCGTTGGCCAAGGGTGGTGTGGAGAGCACAGGCTCTTTTGGAGCAGAGGTGAGTTTTCTTTCCAGCACCGATGAGCTGGAAATTTAAGGAAAAGGACACTGGAGGCAGGAGCAGGGCAGCAAACAGAACTTTCCTGCTGCCCCTGAGAGCACTGCCATGTGCAGCTGGGCAGCTGAGGGTGTAAAACCCGGGCATCCCCTGCCTTTGGGATAACAATTTCCCATTAGAAAATGCAGCTGTGTGTGCACTAAAGTTGAGCTGCATCTGCTGGGAATGGAGGACCCCATGCCCAGAGAGGAGCAGGTTTGCAGTGTTACTGATGGGCAGAGAGCCAAGAGCTCGTGTGTGCAGGCTCCAGCCAACATCTCTTGCGAGTATCGCAGCAGTTCTCACCTGCAGTTTTATAGGTTTATGACATGATGTGTTTTCTGCATGTGATGCCTTTCACGAGCAGCAAGGGCAGGAGAGGAGTTTGGGCTGTGCTGGTTCAGTCTCACAGCCTGTTCTGTGACGGGTCAAAGAAAAGCCACTTCTGTCGCAGAAGCAGAGAGAACTTTCCGTCTTGTTTTCAGGACGGGAATAAGTTGGCAACTTAACTGTTAAACTCGCCTGTGACTGTTGGGTGTTGACATCATCGTGATCTCACCACTGTAACCTGAGCCCTTCAGCTTTTTCTCCGGCCTGCCTTTAAATACCAGTCCTGGAGCCAGCACAGCACCCATCTCTCCGACTGGAGCCCAGGGCAAACCCGGCAGCTCCCACATAGATGAAAGCAAAGACAAGCTCCAGCGCTCCAACCATGTCCACATCCCTGCGAGTGAGCCCCTCGGTCCACGGCTACCGCTTCGACACGGCCCTGCGCAAGAAAGCCGCGGCCAACATCTTCGAGAGCATCAACGAGGAGTCCCTGCAGAAGCTCTTCAAAAACTCCGGGGACAAGAAGGCAGAGGAAAGAGCCAGGATAATCCTCGCCACCGACCAGGACGTGGAGGAGAAAACCAGAGCGCTGATGGCACTAAAGCAGAGGAGAAAAGACAAACTGCTCCAGTTCCTGACGTTTCGGAAATACTTCATCAAAGTTCACTGAACCGGCGAAGGGAGCAGAAATGGAGGAGAACATTTGGGGACGGGGCTGTTTGTGACCTCCTGCCACACTCAGCATGCTCCACTGCCCCGTGGAACCGGGGACCTGAGAGACTGACTGCCCCGCAGCAAACTGGGCACCCAGGGCGGCATCGGTGCCCGTGGTACCATCGGTGCCCATGGCAGCATCAGTGCCCACGGTAGCATCGGTGTGGACAGCAGTGTGGGTGCCCCTGGCAGCATCAGTGCCCACAGCAGCATCGGTGTGGACAGCAGCGCTGGTGTCAGCAGCAGAATCGGTGCCCACGGCAGCATCAGTGCCCACGGCAGCGTTGCTGGGGGTGGCAGCGTGGCAACCAGAGGCTCCCAGAAGCAGGGCAGCAGCTCCCAGAAGCAGGGCAGCTCCCAGTGGGACACAGCCAGGCTCCTCCAGGCAGTTGTGGGACTGAGCCGTGGGGGAACTCCCCACTCCAGTGACTCTGGACCTGCTGAGGGACTGACTGACTGACTGACTGCACCGTGTGCTTTGCCTTCTCAGACTGGTTCCTTGAAGCTGAGCCCGAGCAGAGCCTCCTGCTGTGGCTGGTGGGAGGCTCTGGAGACCCATCAGCCTCTGATCACGGTCACTCTGCGTTTGCTGAGTGCTTCCAAACGCGCTGCATCGTGCAGCCAGTGCAGCATCAGGGAACACATCTGCTCCAGAGTAACTCTGCACAACTCTACCTTCCCTTCCTAAGCTGTACGTGTGCAGTGAAATTCATTTGCACAGAAGCAATAATAATGACAGAGCTCCTTGAATTTACTGTGAAGTTCCTTAATATTTTGTTCACTTCCCATTAACACTAAAAATCTAAATATAATAACTCCAGTTCTTCTCTGTGTAGGTTATGGTTGCTATTAGATGAGTACTTACTTCATGGTAACATTTTATGACAATGTTATTATTCTATCGACTATAATTTATTGCGTACAGTAATCTGAAAATTAATAAATTATGAAGTAAATATAAATTATCTTGTCTGAAATGCTCAGTTCTCCTGGAGTGGTGGGGTTTAGACTTATTTTGATCATTTCCTAGGGAGTTTAGGAGCAGACTGCCTGCACCTCTCCTTCCTTGCCCTGGTGTGGCCTTGGCAGCTGGTCCTCAGGAGCTGCAGCAGCCCCTCGCTTCCCTGCAGCCCCACCATCCCACCTGGCAGCACCAGTCTGGCCCATGGTTGCTATGGTGACGACAGCATCCCCAGAAATACCTCACCAAATTTATTGTAAACCCGCTCCAGCGTTAGTTCCCTCTCTGTAGGAAAGGAGAACAACACCTTCTGCAAGGAGGAAAGAAGGTTTAGGAAGTGACAGCCCAGGGCCAGGGTGGGCAGCACGGCTCATTGGTCCTTGGCACTCCTGTAGGGCAGAGTGGCAGCCTGGACTTGGCTCCTCACCATCCAAAGAAACAGAAGTGAGTTATGAAGCTTTGACAGCGAAATTGGACAGTTTTTCTGCAGGTTGTGCTGTACTATCATGATAGACGATGCTGAAAATGCTTAAAAATAGCCAAGACTGGTTATTTATAAATCTGTCCTCTAATAACCGGCTGGGTTAGAAAAAAACATTCCCATGACTCTGCTTAGAGCAACAAAGATAAAGCAGCCTGGAAGACTGATAGCCCAGCTACAGTCTTTTTGCCTACAGTAAGAACTGCAAATTGCCAATAAGTCAGGGAGACTAGAAATAACCCTTTACATTGCCTAATAGAATGGGCAATTGCAATTATTTATAGCTGCAGTGGGACACATGGGGATTCCCCCTCCCAAGAAGACTGGAGAGAGCTGGTTTGGGATGAACCTGTTTTAAAGAGCCTCCCAAGGCTTTTCAGAACTGCCCTTGCTCAGAAGAATCTGCCTCAGAGCAGGTTTGCTCCAGAGGAAGTTGTCAGTTTTCCAGCACTCAGCCTCTCCCAGGGCAGGGTCCCACACTCACTGCAGCTGTTGCACCCACGAATGACACATCCCCACGAAGCAGCCACAGTGACACCAACTGCCTCAAAAGGGCTGTTTCCAAAAAAGGCCAAGCAGGGCTGCTCAGTGACCGCCCACAGCCCGGACCTGCCTCCACTCAGCCCCTCCTGTCCCTGGGGATGCAGGGCAGTTTCTCCTGCTCTGGTGGGTTTTCCCACCAGAGCTGTTTCCTGAGCAACAAACACTCCCAGCAGAGGCCAAACATAGAGCCCCCAAACCCACGTGTTACTTGCTGGGACCTGCCAATCCTGCTGCCAAGGGTGCTCTGAGAACACCCCATGGGGACCAAATCAGCTCCACGCTGTCCCACTGCTCCCCTGGCTCTGCTGATGGGGCTTTGCTCCCCCCTCCCCTGCCCTGGACCCTTTGAGGTGTCCAAAATGCACCCCCTGTGCCAGGGCCTTGCCACTCTCTGGGCCCCCAAAAGCAAAGACAGCTCCCCATCGCTCCCCACCACCTGGGCAGCCTCAGGCATCCCCTGCCAGTTGTCTTTGTGGGACAGGAATGGGACAGAAGCCACGATGGTGGCAGACTGAAACCAACACCCCCTGAACTGGCTGCTGCTGGCACGACCTAGGATTGCCCAGACATTCCTGTTCACAGCACGTGCATAACGTGATTGATAAGATCCTGTGATCTGGGGACTTTACAGTCTCTCTTGTCTCATTACATTGAAATTATTGGCTCAAGGGGCATCCATGATAAAAAAAAAATAAATAAATAAAGGCCATTTGTAAAGAAGTTACGTGTTTATTGGATCTTTGCAGAGGAAAAAAGGCAGTTTTCCCTGGTCTCAGGGAAAGAGCTTTGGCAGGTTTGTGCTCCAGGAAGGTGTCTGACAGTGGGGTTACAAAAAACTGGGATGAATTCTTATGGAACATTTGGCAGCGAGAGTTTGAGGTACAAATGTCCAGCCATCCCAGGGCCCTCCCACTCGTGGTGCTGCTGCTCTGCTCCTGCCCAGGGCTGCCCCAGGACGGCTCAGAGCCCCCCAGCCCGACCCCGGGGCTCCAGCACTTGTGGCAGTCCCTGTGCCTGGGGGGGACACGGCCGAGCCAAGCCCTGCCAGGGCTGTGCTGCTCTGCAGGGCCCTGCCCTGGTGTGTGCAGAGGAGGTGTGGGAGGGCAGGTCACCCGGCTGTGCTGTCACCCGTCGGTGCCGGGCCCTTCCTGAGCGCCGGCTGCCGCAGACTCGGTGTCTGTCACCGGCACACGCCGCGCCCCGAGCCAGCCCGGCCGCCAGCCAGGGCCCATTGTCAGCATCCCCCCCGCCAGCCAGGGCCCATTGTCAGCATCCCCCCCAACAAACGGAGGAAAAGGCCGTTCAAGGAATTTCCTCCCCCCAGGAGCCGCGCGTTTCCATTAATTCTTCTGGGCCAGGCGGACTGGCTGTACTGGGTGTCCCTCTGTCCCGGCATCCTGAGCAACGTGCGTCCCAACTGCTAATTTTATCTGGCTTGTCCCACGCCCTGCCTGGGGCAGGCACACTGCAGGGGTGGCCACGCAGCCCCAGGCTGAGCAGCCGTGAGGAGAGCACATCAGTGGTTCCCCACCATCACTGTCACCCGGGGAGAAGCCACAGAAAGCCAGGACAGAAAATAAGGAGAAGTCTTTTGGCCAAAGCTCTGGCTTGACAGACTGGGGCAGGTGGGGACGACTCACAGGGTGCTGGAAAGAGAGTCCAGGGCAAAGAGGGTGTCAGTGACAGCAGACAGCACCCTCTGTCCTCCCATCACACACCCATCTCTCCCAAAAGCTGCTCTTGCAACCATCCTGTCCACGGAAAGGTGGGGTTGAAACAAGTCAAGAGCCCATCTCAGCCTGACCACGGTGCTCAGGAGGAGATGGGGATGTTCCCCAGTACTGAACACCCAGTACTGTGACCTTCAGTTTGTGGTGAAATCCAGCACACGAGGCACGAGCAGAGTCCAAAGCAGAGCCCTCGCCCGGCCGTGTTTGTGTGAGGGGGGACGGGGTCAATGGCAACACCTCCCTGGCAAGCTTCCCTCGCACACCACGGAGCAGGGGACAAGTTAAAAATTGACTGTTGAGCTGAGCTGCTGCTCTGCTTCACCCAGAGGGACAGATTCTGCTTTGCAAAGCAGAACAACACCCTGGGTGCCCTGGCAGCCCCGACTCGGTGCTGCTGCAGGGGGTGCCTCGTGCTGGAGAACACAGACACAGATGAAACATATTTCATCTGCAGCTGCCAAGGGAAAGCTCCTCTCTAAAGCGGGTTAAATGTGAGTGAGGAACTGTAAAGCATGAGATTTGTGGCTGATCTAGGGTAGTTTTCACAGAAAAGAGCTGGTCTGGGGTTTCAAAGCACAAATGATGCTCCAGTGTCACTTTGAAGTGATAGACAAGGCTATTTATGAGAAGAAAGGCCTCCAAAATACTGCAGGCAACAAGAGATGGCACAACTGCCATTTATCTTTGCTAAAATCCAAAAGATGGGCTGTGACCAGAATCTCAATACACAGCCCTGGGAAAACCCCTTCTTCCCAGCGAGCTGCACCCTGAACTGGTGCCTGTGGCATGGCAAGAGCATGCTCTGCCGTGGGAAGCAGTGACATTTCTCTGGTTCGTGGCTCCCAGCAGGGGGGTCGGGGAAGTGAATCAGAGCTGAGCCAGCCCGGCACCTCCCGGGCTGCGGCTGCTCCAGCGCCCCCGCACAGGGAGCATCATCGGCAGCATCATCGGGAGCATCACCCGAGCCAGTGCGGGCAGCAGCTGGGGCTCAGCATCCTCCTCCGTGGAAAACCCGCTTCTGCCAGTGACTGAGCACTGCCCCGGGGCCACTGATTCATGCTGCAGCCACTGCTTCCCAAAACACCCGCCTGGGAACACCCTGGAGCGGCTCCTGGGCGCTGCACAGCAGGCAGCAGAGCCCAGCCCTGCTCCTCCCCACCCATCACCCATCACCCATCACCCCACGGGCACCTCACTGCCCATCACACTGCCCCGGGGGCCAGGACCCATCACTCCAGGGAAGAAATTCCCTGTGGGACCCCTGTGAAAGCTGCTGCTCTCCCACGTCACAAATGGAAAACAATTCCATTTTTAAAACATTCAGGCACAAAAAAAGAAGAGAGGATTTCCATTGTCTTTGCAAAGTGAAGGTGCTTTAATGCCTGAAGGACTTAGGCAAAATCTGGCACACAAACACCCCAACACAACTCAAGGCACTTTCTCCACCTGCTGCTGCTCCTGCTTGGACCATAATGGAAAGGGAAGAGAAAACTGTCAAATTGTTCTTCCCAGGCTGGCCATATTCCAGCTGGGTTCTGTTTAAAATTCACCTGCCATCCCAAATGCTGAAAAAATTCCAATCCAGACATGGGTTTTTTGCT